CATCATAGCTCGATTCTATCGGGCTGCTGGATATTACTACCACTATTCGCAAAATGACATTCCTAAAAGCATGGAATTTTTTCAAACAGCCCTCACTTTGGCACAATTGTGTGCAGACATTGGACAGCAATCCACTGCATTACAATATATTGCTTGGCTGAGTGGAGAATTGGTGATTATTTGACAGCACACATCCATGCCTTTGAGGCACATCAACTTGCCAGATTGTCTGCAAATGCGTATCTGGAAGCAAGGGCACTCTTTGTCGATGCAGTGTGTATCGGGGAACTTGGAAACTATAAATATGCCATGGTGCTGTTTCAAAAAGCAAAACAGTGTGCAGACCTATGTGGTTTAGCTAGAGGTGGAGTTGTCTCCAATATCATGTCGAATACTGCAGAGTTCCATCTGCTCAAATCTGAATATGCAGAAGCACACAAGATCCACACACAAATTGCACAGGAAACATCTCTACTAAGTGACAAATATGATTATGCCTTTTCTCTCCTCAACATTGCACAAATAGATGTGCTAATAGGCACTGTTAAACATGAAGTGCAACAGAAGCTGGGGGAAGCAAAGTGTTATTTCAGACCTTGGGGCAATCTGCTGAAGAGGGATTTTGTGACATGGTTATGGCTGACCTTCATCTGAGGGAGGGGGATAGCGCATATGCAAAACCTATCTTCGAGAAGTCTTTCCATTCTTCTTTAGGATCTCAACACGATCATGCATTTTACTGTTTGGAAAGACTTGCTGATCCCAGTCAGTGGAGATCTACAGACTTGGATGAGACAGCTGCTTGGACAATGGTCTACTTGGGTTATGCCTGCAGGTCAAAGAAAAGGCTAGCACTTCTCAAGGCACTATACTGCCTTGGTAATGTTTTTTATTTGCTGGGTGATAATACGACAGCCTATGCCCTGTGCATTGTAGCTCTGGAAGGGTTTCACATATCTGGATGTTCATCATGGCAGAGCACGGTGCCTGCTCCTTCTCGGAGACATTGCAGAGCACCAAGGAGATTCAGCAAAGGCAGTTGAATTCTGGAACAATGCTCGACCATTGTTTGAAACTGAGTTTGCAGGCAAAAGATGCCATTCAAATTGACAATAGGTTTGGCCGCTGCAGGGGAAAATAATGTGAATTCCTGTGTGAGAACGATGGCACATCTGGAACAGCCGAATGTTCCTTTTACTGGGGAAGAAAAGTTGGTGGTTAAAGATGCAGTGTTGAGACCACATGAGTGAAGGATTTTGGCTAGGAATCCTCTGTACAATTCTATCTTGTTCTGAATGTGTACTGAAATTGATGAATACAATTATTTATAAATTAATGACTCTACAGAAGTAAGCTGCCCTCTCTCCTCATCATATTACATCCTCTTTCTGTTGAAGCTTGAACTCCACCATCAGATCTCAACAATGCTCCTGGCAGGCAGTCCGCCAGGTGGCCTAAGTTATTCTGCCGCCCAAATCACTCTTTGTTGCATACAAGCGTACAAGGCCATTTTCATTAGGAAATTTATGCTGAAAAGTGGACATCCCCATACATGGTTGCTGCTCTGTCCTGTACCACGGAACAGTTGTGGCTGGGTGGTCGTGGCACAGCAAAGCCACCTGTGGCTGTGGCACATCCACAGCCACTGTTCTGTGGTACAGGACAGAGCGGCAAATATAGGTTTTTGGGGTGCATATATTAGACCTGCTCAAAATTGACAGCCAATGTCCCTCAGGCTGGCAATCACCTATAAAATGGACAAGCCAGTGTCAAAAGCCCAGGTGGATCAAGGCAGATCATCCCTCTCATGTATTTAATGCTACTGGGTGTTTGACACCCAAGGGAAGGCAGAGGTTCAACTCCTCTCCTGGGCTCTGTGCAGCGATCCAAAGATTATTCTTTTTCCTCTTGACTTCCGCCCTGAGAGAACAACACCGAGCACGCAATTTCCACTCGGTCACACCTCGGGAACAAGAGGACGAGTGCCTGCGGGAAGAAAATTACAAACTTGCCCAAAATTGACGGCTGACTGTACGGGCTGTCGTCACAGGATGGCAGTCACCTAGGCAATGGACAATTTAGTGCCAAAAGCCCAGGTGGATCAACGGCAGATCGTCCTTTTCAACATAGTGGCGTAATGCTCGAGAAGATCCAGGGGAAGGTGGAGGTTTGAGTCCTCTCCTGGGCATTAGACAGGTTGTGCAAAGCTGTATGGAGCCGCATGCGACTTTTGGGCATTGTGCAAAGCCACATGGCAAAAATAAGCCTTGGATGTGTCCGATTTTTTTTTCATTGAAACATTGCCTGACATGAAGCAAAGGTACATATATGTGAAGGAGCCTCATTGGCATTTCACCTGCTGCACGCATGATGTCAAGAAGTGTGAGAAGGCCGAGTGGTGCCGAGTGGAGCTGGAGTGATGTGCCGGAATACCGGCTTCTCATGCCTGCCCATCCAACCCATCTAACTTCGGGCTGTTGTATTACACTTTTACAGAGGCTTTGGACCACACTGAGCACAGAAAATGACCAAGGACAATTAAGAAATCCACACAGCTCTGCACAATGCATAAAAGCCACATGCGGCCTCATGCGGCTTTGCACAACCTGTCTATTGAGTTGTGCCATTAATGTTTCTTTTTTCTGTTTTTCTGTTCGACCGAGAAACCGAAGGAAGCGCTGCCAAACTGCACAAGTCAGGTCTACCGTCATTTTTCCATCGCATGGCCGAATTCAAAGTCAATGGACTAATGGCGGATTCCTCCAGTGCTAGGGTTTCCAACGACACCCGAAAAACTCTCAGGGAATAAAAGCCCAGTGGATCATACATTGATGCGTGATGGATACAAATCTTAATTGAGAGTCGGGTTCGAGCTCCGAGCTGGAGCATAAAAGTCTGGCAGAATTTTTCCTTTCTTTTTTTTTTTTGGACTCCCGGCTGCTTACCTTGGGTAATTTCATGCAATGTACACTCACTCACATCCTGGGAACAAGATCCCGAGCACGAGTGCTTGTAGGACACTCAAAAAAATTGATGGCTGGACTGATCACATGGGCCATTGGCACAGACCCAAGCCTCAGGCTTGCGCTCGCCTACAGTAATGCAAGGTGGATCAAAGACAGATCATCCCTACCCTAGCATATATGCTGTCCCAGAGATTGCACGCGGGGGAAGTGGAGGTTCGAGTCCTCTCATGGTCATTGACCAGCCTGAGCACCCATTTTTTTCTCTGCAGCCGGAGAAAACCAACATACAAGTTGGGTCTATGTCTTTCAAAAATCACCCACTTCAGCTCTCCTGCCTTTTTCCGAGCTATTAAGCACACACACACACACACACACAAAAGCCCAGGCAAATCAAGCCAGATACTCCCTCTCATATACTTAGCATAACCAAGTCCTCAACATCCAAGGGAAGGTAGGGCTTCAAATCCTCAGTTGCACAGAGCTGGCTAACCCACCTAGAGCTCGAAGATCTCTGTGTTATAAATGCCCAAGACCGAGCCAAGACTGAGAGTCGCAGAATTGTCCCAGATGTCCACAGATTCGCAAGACGTTCCCGAAAGTCCACAGCGCTATATGATACCAAGAAGCTATGAGAACCTCGGGTGTCGATGGCAGGTCCAGCAAGTCAAGCCCAGTGTCGAGCCTTTGCAGTGAGAGCAGGAGGCACAGTATGACGAAAGGAGAAGCCTCGGAATGGCCCGGGTCATGTGGGTCGTTCTCATTTTCGCACAGTTCGTTGCATGGAAGAGTTCGAAGTTGCGTTGCGTCGCTAATTGCGCGTTCCTCCAGCGCTAGCATTCCCAACAATATCTGTCAACCACTTTGAGAAATAAAAGCCCAGTGGATCCACTGTACTGGATCATACTGCAGAGTGTATGCAGTGCAGAATCGGGTTCGACACCCGAGCTGGGCGTGAAATGAGACAAGTATTGTTTTGGTTTTTTTCTTCAGCCACTCGGCGCTGCTTGCGGGAGAATTTTATCCAAGCCAATAGCCAATTGTTGGGCATAATGACACCAAGGGCACGAGTCCGTCCCATTTGCAAACCTACTCAGGATCGACCCATCATTTTCAAGTTGGCATGGTTCAAAGTTCAACTCGGAGTAAGTAATCGCGGATTCCTCCAGCATCCTCAACAACACCCGACAAAATCTCAGGAGAATAAAATCCCAGTGGATCGCTGTTTGTACACCAACGCGTGTTGTAGAGATGGATCGAGAGTCGGGTTCAACTCCTGAGTTGGAGCATCTGTTCGGTGTGTCTGATTTTTTCCCCTGTTTTCGTATTTCTTTCGACTCCCGGTCACTTGCGATATTGGGTAGAGTTTCATGCACCGCTCACATCTCGAAAACAAAAGGCTAATAGAAACTTGTAAACCCGCTCAAAATTGACAGCCGATGTCCCTCTGGCTGGCACTGACCTATAAAATGGACAAGCCAGTGTCAAATGCCCAGGTGGATCAAAGCAGATCATCCCTCTCATATATGTGATGTCGCTGGGTGTTTGATATCCAAGGGAAGGCAGAGGTTCGACTCGAGGGGCCGGCTGTCAAGCGCCATCAAAGATGAACCCCCTGCAGTATGTTCGTGTTTGTCATTCCTATTGATCCCACTGACAGGCCCACTTGTAGCCGTGCACATTCGTCTGCGCTTTTATTGCCTCCTCAGACCACCTAAAAATCTTGATTAACATTATCCCGCACTCATGTTGTTGTGAATACCATCCCATGTCCATCGATTATGTTGCAGCACCTCGCGCATGTGCGGCTACACATGACTGTCAGTAGGATCAATGGGAGTGACAAACACGAACATACTGCAGGGGGTTCATCTTTGATGGCGCTTGATAGCCGGCCCCTCGGTTCGACTCCTCTCCTGGGCTCTGCGCGGCGATCCAAAGATTATTATTATTTTCCCTCTTGACTTCCGCCCTGAGAGAACACCGAGCACGCAATTTACACTCACCCACACCTCGGGAACAAGAGGACGAGTGCCTGCAGGAAGAAAATTGCAAACCTGGTCAAAATCGATGGCTGACTGTACAGGCTGTACAGGATGGCACTCGCCTAACACAATGGACAATTTAGAGTGTGTTCGGATCATCAGAATCAGGATCAGGATGCAGGACCGGCGGCCGGTCCGGTGGTTAGTCACGGCACGTAACACCCATGTAATATTGACGTAGCACCTCGAAAATTTTTGTCTCTCACTGGTTGGGAGATTCAAGATTTTCAGCACAATTTATAGTGAAAAATGTTGTTTGTTTTTCAGACATTTTTCACTGAAAAAAGTAGTGAAAAATTCAAATCTTTTTCACCTCCTTTGAGCTTCCTTTTGAATTTTTCACCACGAACTCACAAAATAGTGAAAATATTTTGATTTTTTCACTACCTTTTTCGGTGAAAAATGTCTGAAAAACAAACAACATTTTCACCATAAATTGTGCTTCGAGCGCGGCGGCCACTTCGGATTTTCGAAAAAAATAGCGTACCTATCTGTTCCTCCCCCAGTAAATTCATACGACCTCTTTCCTCACCTTCGGGGCCCACGACCGTGCCCTACGCTTTTATTTTCACCCTTGACCGGGTCTGTTAAGCTGGCGCACGCGTTAATGGGTAGAAAGAGATCAATTGTGTATGAAACCCAATTATGCCGCCATAAATTTTTATGTGCTACACAGACACAATAAAAATATGGAATAATTGAGATACTGAGGTGGTAATCTCACCGCGTTGAGTCCAAATGGATTCCGTAGTCAGCCCTACCAGCACAAAACCGTTCGTGGTAGGGGAACTTATCCACCTGATGAGTCACATGTGACGAAATGTTCTTGCGCACACCAACAACGTCGTGGTCCCCACCCCGTTTCTACAACAGCCTCTCTGTGTATCAACCTCACACCCAACAGCTCGCTTCGCTCGCTGTTCGCAGGGCTCGCTAAAGCTCGCCCGCTCTCTCTCCTCGTTTACCTGAGCCCGCCCTTCGTTCCCACCACCTAGTCGACATCTCGACAACCCAGCATCGCAGCATACCCTTTTCGGCGTCTGCAGCACCCCGGCACCTCTCGCTTCTCGCAGTCCCCCCTCGCCGCCCTCGCCTTGCACCCTGCTACCGCCCCGACACCTTCTTGCGCCCCCACGATCTCTCGATGTCTACGGCCACCCAGCTCCCCAACGGCTTGAAATTCAACAAGAATAAGCGCAAACGGACATCTACGGGCGACGACGTCTCCACCGCCCCGAAGGCTTCGGGACGCGCCACTCCAGCGCAGGCCACGACTACCGTTTCGACGCACCGCGCGGACCCGTTCGAGCGCACGATCCAGGCGCTTATCGATCGTGGAACCCCGTGCCACCCCCCACTTCTCTCGTTGTCATGCGCCAAATGTGTTCCGACGCTATGTCGAACTACAAAAAAGGCTATGACACCTTGCAGAAGGCCGCCGCGACTCACCAGAAGTTTGCGGCGGCGTCTAGTAACGGCCAGCCCGTCTCGTCGGTGCTGACACACCTGAGACTCCCCCCGCACCAGACTCTCCTAGGCGTCCCCAACGTCATGGCTGATGAACGTGTGGTGGCGGCAACGGCTGCGACCGAGAAAGACATTGCCACGGCTCGTACGTCTGCCTCCACTCTCTTGACCACTGTGTACGCAGTCCAAGTAGAGAAGGCGCTCGAGCTCGTCGACATCTCCCACACCGCTGACGCGCTCGCTGCTGCCCTCCACGGGTACTGCATCCGCATCATCACGAGCGCCGGAGATCCAGACACCCAGGCCTGGCACCCCTGTGTTTCCGCTATCAAAGCCGCGTTCACGGACGAGTTTAAAGCCGTCCGATTCGAACACACCGCGCGCCTAGATAAGGAAGCTGTAACCAAGGAAGCCAAAGCGAACGCTGTTATCACGGCACGCGCTGACGCTGAAATGGCTGATGCCAACCGCCCTATTGAGGAGATTGTATCTGAGAAAGTTAACGTCGCCATCACTGGTTCGTTACCTCTCAGTTCCTTTCCCTCTACGCTCTCTGAACTCCCTCCCCGGCTCTTTAGCATTCAAAGAGACCCTCGAGAACGAGAAGAAGAAGAAGCGCCCTGCTCCCGCAGCCCCAGCCCCCAGAGCCAAGCAGGTCAAACCAGCGAACGCGACGGCCTCGTCTTCCAAGACAGCCAAGCTTACGCAGACCA